CCGCAACAATTTGAAATTAAATGCGGCAAAATCCTATTCCGAAACAAATACGAAACAATATGTAAACAATATGTATGCTAAGAATCGAGTAATAGGCGGTCTCCCGAATCATATTATATCCCTGGTAAAAATGTCGGACTAATCCGAATTAAATCCGGCATATTAGTGTGGATTAGTCCGATAATTGTACGGAAATGATCTGTGTTAATCTATCTATAGTCTGGAATAATCTTAAATGTCTGATTTAAGTCCGTAATTATTACGCAACAATCCGAAATTATGTCCGTCAAAAAACTCATCTAAAATAAATACGAAATAATCCGAAATCAGTATGTAAAGAATACGAAATCAGTCTGCAATATTCAGAATTTAATCCAGTTAAAAGATTTAATCCGAAACAAGTATGGAACAATACGAAATCTGTATGCAAAGAATTCGGTAATAGTCAGCGTCAATCTGAATAATATCCGATCAAAACACCCCAGTCCGAAAATAAGTCTTATTATTATAAGAATTTGTTAATATATACAATCCACAGACAGTTCAATACAATCCATATTCAATCCAATTCAAAGACTTAATCCGGAATGATTTTAGAACAAAAACCTGTCCATAAGCAGACTGTTTCGGATTAGCTGCGGATTCACTGGTTAAACCAACCGGATTACTTCTGTATTTACTAGTTGCATATGATCTGACTAACTGCAGACTAAACCGGACTAATTACGGATTCAATAGTGATAAAAAACGGTATTGATTTCAAACTTAATTCATGGTGAAAAAACTCCACAATAAACCGCATTGTTGCGGACAAATTCCGGATTAGTCTGAAATCGGTCCCAGTTTTTATTCAGGGTATTTACTTACGGTAAATAAAATATTTAATTCTGCAGTCATAATTTGTTTTTACAAATTGGACTGGTTGCTCTATTATCAGAGCAGTTCAGCAGTTTTTTAGCCACGAAAAACATTTGGGATGATTGGATCCAATGCATCGGATAATAGAGCAACCAGTCCAATTGTCCAAATGCCGTTTGGACAATTGAGCAGACGGCTTGCTCAATTGTCCAAAATGCTATATCAAAAAATCCTTTTTTACTGGGGTTAGATAGGTGTAGGTTCGAATCCCCAAGCGTTAGAAATTTTAAGTTAATGTAAACAAAATTGCGATAGGTAAATCGAAAAATATGTTGAATGTACCATAAAGTAATAATAATTAATATGTCTAACTTGTATAATTATTTTTTATTAATATTCACTAAATTGTTCGGACTAATTTTTGATTGCTTCAGACTAATTCCGGATTCACTAGTTAAAATTAACTGATATTAATTTCGGACTTCATCGGACCAACTCCGTATTCACTAGTTGTTCACAAACCGTATAGAGTTCGGATTTTTCCGGATTAATTTCGGGTGACAAAAACCTGACCATAAACCGCATTGTTTCGGACAAATTTCGGATTAGTCCGAAATCTGTCCGGTTTTTTAACCAGGGAACTGGTCCTTGAAGTCCTGAAATTCCTGGAAATGTCCTGAAATTTAAAAAAATGTCCTGAAATGTCCTTAAATGTCCTGGAACTTTTGTCCTTGAATTTTCCATATTTTGCTCTTCAATATTCAATAATTTAAAAATTTTACTCAAATTTAAAAAAATAATTTTTTTGATCCATCAAAAAATCATTTCAATTTGTCATTTGATTAAAGAAACTGGTATCTACACACGGAGAGAGAATATATATTAAATTTTGTAAAAATATTTTCAAATTTAGGAAAAAGTGCGACAAAGCGAAATTTTGATATAAAAAATACTAAACTTTAAAAAAACTTACTTGAAATTTAGTATAATTATATCAAATATCAAGAATATTAATTAAATTCTAATATAACTTTAATAAATTTCAACAAAACTTTTTTAAAGTTTAGTATTTTTTATATCAAAATTTCGCTTTGTCGCACTTTTTCCCCAATTTGAAAATATTTTTACAAAATTTAATATATATTCTCTCTCCGTGCAATATTGATTTTTAACTCTTTCTATAATAAAATAAATATTTTTGTTTAAGTATAGGTTAATTTAAATTATGTTAATCGTAATATGAAATAATATTATACACAGGGTTGCCACAAAATTTAAATTTTTTTTCCCCTGACTTTTCCCTAATTTCTAGACAAAATTTTCACTTCTTCCCTGACCCTGAAGAACATTAATAACTTATTTTTTAAATAAATATTTAATCATTATTATTTTTCTATAGGAATTAAAATTCTAAAATTCAATAACTTCTGAGAATATTATTATAAAATATGAAGAAATCGATCACTCTGAGTCGAATAAATTCAAGATGACAAATTAATAATATCAAGATTCGCGGTAGAGAATCGCCGCCAAGTAAAAAACAAAAACCGCGAATATATATTCTCGAAATATCGGCTATTTTTCGATAAAATTGAATAACTCGAGTAAATCTTAACCGATTTGGCTCATTCTTTTTTTGTTGGATAAAGAATCAAAAAAGAAAGAATTCTGTCAAGTTTATTTGAATATTTTTGATACTTTTATAGAATTTAAGCTAGGAAAACCGAAAAATTATCGATTTTTTGAGATTTAGACAAACGTGGAGCGTAAACTCCTAAATGGATTTCTAAAATATTTTAGAATATTATTAATTAGGTTAAAATCTCGATATACATTTCAGGAAATTTTAATATACTTCGTATTTTTTGAAAAATTTGGATTTTTCTCAAAAAAATGGAATATTTTGACATTTAGACAAACGCAGAGAGCAAACTTCTAAACGGAAGTGCAAAATATTCTATAATATCATTGATTGGGTTAAAATATCGATATATATTTCAGGAAATTTTAATACACTTCGTATTTTTTGAAAAATTTTGATTTTTCTTAAAAAAAATAAAATTTTTTGATATTTAGACAAACGTAGAGACTAAACTTTTTAGTGCATTTAAATTTCCTACAATATATATCAAGATTATACTCCAATCAATAATATTCTAGAATATTTTACAAATCTGTTAAGTAATTTAGTCTCTACGTTTGTCTAAATGTCGAAAAATTCAATTTTTTATAGAAAAATAAAAATATTTTAATAAATACGAAGTGTATTTAAATTTCTTGCAATATATATCGAAATTTTAACCCAATTAACAATAATCTAGAATATTTTATATATCCGTTTAGAAGTTTAGTCTCTGCGTTTGTCTAAATGTCAAAAAATTCATTTTTTTAAGAAAAATCCGAATATTTCAAAAAATACAAAGTCTATTAAAATTTCCTGCAATATATATCCAGATTCTAATCCAATCAATAATATTCTAAAATATTTTACATATCCGTTTAGAAGTTTAGTCTCTGCGTTTGTCTAAATATCAAAAAATTTTATTTTTTTAGAAAAATTCAAATATTGAAATATTTATATTTTTCTTTAAAAAATTGGATTTGACATCTAGATAAATGTAAAGCCTAAACTACTAAACAGTTTTATAAAAGACCCTAGAATTTAATTATGATGCAAAAAGTATTTCAATGCCAACAAAAACATCTTTGATGCAAAAATTTCCGCCAAGTAAAAATTTTGGAAATGTCGAAATAATTAGTGAAATAAAAATTTACCAAGTAAAATTTGTAACGAATGTACCTATTCAATTGTATTCAATTGTAACAAATGTAGAATTTAATTTAATTATTAACATAATCAGCTAATGAAATCCAATTGTTCGTCTTAATAAAAAATTTCTATTTGAAGCAATTTTAAGATCTTGGCGTCAATACTTTCATTAATTATAAGTTATAAACATTATTGACGCCAAGATCTTAAAATTGCTTCAAATAGAAAATTTTTATTAAGACGAACAATTATATTTCATTAGCTGATTATGTTAATAATTAAATTAAATTCCACATTTGTTACAATTGAATACAATTGAATACATTCGTTACAAATTTTACTTGGTAAATTTTTATTTCACTAATTATTTCGACATTTCCAAAATTTTTACTTGGCGGAAATTTTTGCATCAAAGATGTTTTTGTTGGCATCATTATTTTATTTCATAAGAATATTCTAACTAAAAATTCAAATTTTCAAAGATTTTAATTTTAACCCTTTTCCAAATTCAATTATTTCTAAAAATTCACGCTATAATGTTTTTAGTATTCAATTATAATTTGAAATTTTAAGTGAAATTCATTTTTTAATCAATTTTAATTAAAAAATTTCCCGAGAATTCAATTATTTAAATACAAAAATAAATAATTTATTCAGTAATTGCATATTTTTTAAATTTGAATTTTTATGAAGAATTCTATCAAAGTTTTTAATAACAATTGAATCCTTTCGGCGAATTTAAACAAAAATTGTAAGAATAATTGCAATTTTCTATCATTTTATTTAAAATTGAATTCTTGCAACGAATTTTATTAAAAATCTTTTTAAAGAATTGAATTCATGTAAATAATTTTATTTGTAAAAATAATTGAATTTCAGAGAAAAATATTATTATTTATGAAAATAATTAATTTCTTGTGAAGAATTTTATTCAAATTTTTTTAAACAATTGAATTTTTTCAGAACTTTTAAAAACTTTTTAAAAATAATTAAATTTCATTAAAAAATTGAAAACAATTGAAATCTGACAAAGAGTTAAAAAAAATTTGTTTAAATAATTAAATGCCATTTGACATAATTTTCAAACCTTCAAAATATATGAAGCTGAAGTCCGCAACGTTTTTAAATACGAAAAATTAAAAAAGAAATTTTTTCCAAGTTAAATTCATCTCTAATTTTCATGTGCCTAAATTTTTAAGAAATTAATTGTTACTTAAGATAAAATAATTAAAAACTAACATGATTTATAATGAAAAATAAAAAACCGTCCCATTATTTTTCGTTTTAAATTATAAATTATATTGAATGAAATTTCGAAAACTGATAAGAGTTTTGATGTTTTGAACATTAGGAAATTGAAATTTGGGGAATAAGCATGCGCCCCGCGCCTACTACGTATGCTGACGTGGGCCCAAGCTGCGCAAATACTAACATAGCGTTTGCGCAGCTTGGGCCACTTTGGCGCAGCGTCTCCATATTTCGGCCACTCCGATTCTGACGCTTACAGAGGTGACACATTTTGAGAATCAGGATTATTCTTTCATATATTTTCATTAAAGAAATATATAAATAAGCGCGAAATAAATCAAGAACACTTTGCAATCGTTATTATAACAGACTGTGGTGTTTTTGTTAATCAATTTTCTTTAAAAAAAATTTATTTTTTAAAATCACAAAAAACACATTGTGTAAATTGCAAAGTTACAGTGTTTTTGTGCATATTTTATTAATTTTGGTGTTTTTAGTAATTACTTTCTTTAATAAACTTTCTTTTAAGAAACAATTTTACTTTTTAAAATCACAAAAAACACTTTGTGTAAATATTGCAAGACTACAGTGTTTTTGTGCATATTATTTTAACTCTAGTGTTTTTAGTAATTACTTTCTTTAATAAACTTTCTTTTAAGAAACAATTTTACTTTTTAAAATCACAAAAAACACTTTGTGTAAATATTGCAAGACTACAGTGTTTTTGTGCATATTATTTTAACTCTAGTGTTTTTAGTAATTACTTTCTTTAATAAACTTTCTTTTAAGAAACAATTTTACTTTTTAAAACCACAAAAAACACTTTGTGTAAATTACCAGACTACAGTGTTTTTGTGCATATTTTATTAATTTTGGTGTTTTTAGTAATTACTTTCTTTAATAAACTTTCTTTTAAGAAACAATTTTACTTTTTAAAACCACAAAAAACAGTTAATGTAAATTTCAAGACTACAGTGTTTTTGTGTGTATTGTTTTAATTTTGATTATCAATTTTCGAAATTGTGATGGATCGAGAGTGCAAAATAACTAGAGCTTTGCAGGAAGTGCTGTCTTCTTCCTCGGGAAACGAGAGCATTCGTTGCATTTCAACGAAAGTAAGTACTACAAATTAATCCTTAATAATTTCGTTTGCAATTTATTTGAATATCCCAATCTCTCAGTCAGTCACTCTCTTACATACTTATTCACTGATTCGTTCATGCATTCAACCTCTCACACATTCTTTCAATCACTCTTTCTCTCACTCCTTATCACTAAAACTACTTTCTTGATTAGATTCACTCAAGTTAAAAACATATTAACATACACACGTAAATAATAATTAAGGGTGCAATCCCATGGCACTGTTTTGCGTTGCGTTTTGTAACTAGGACATGAGTGTGAGAGAGATGAAGATATAGGTTCGCTATATTTGCACTCATGGCCTAGTTACAAAACGCAACGCAAAACGCTGCCATGGGACTCCAGCCTGAGGCCGCAGTCCCATGGCACCGTTTTGCGTTGCGTTTTGTAACTAGGCCATGAGTGCAAATAGAGCAAACATATATCTGTATCTCTCTCACACTCATTGCCTAGTTACAAAACGCAACGCAAAACGCTATCATGGGACTCCAGCCTGACTCATTATCTAATGGGAAATCCACACTTCGATCTAAGATGCTATAGGCTGTTTCCAGAATAGATAGACGCAAAGCTGGCGCAAACGCATTCCCATTTGGTTAATGCTGATTCCACACTTACCCAGTCGCTCCGCTTTTCCGTGGCGGTTTGCGTGAGATAGAAAAAGACAGAGACTATCTCTATCTTTTTCTGTCTCACGCAAAGCGCCACAGAAAAGCGGAGCGACTGGATAAGTGTGGAATCAGTATGCGTCTATCTATTCTGGAAACAGCCATAAACGAGACGCTTTTTCGTGACGCACTACCGTCGGAAATTACTGACACCTGACCAAAAACATACCAATCTTTAAATCACCATTTCTATATAAAAAAATGTAAGAAAATTAACAAATATACCGTTTGATTTTAGTAAATTACACAAAGATTCTAGCAAACAAACATTTTTTTTAAAACAATTAAAAAATAAAAATTTGTGTGACAATTTTTTAAACTTTTGAATATTTTTTAAAAAATTCAGATAAAATTTGAAACTTAAATAGATGTCATCATTTAAGTCTTATCTTTAATTTAAGATTAAAAAAGTTAAAAAAATCTTTCTCGATTTACGAGATATCATTATAAACGGCCGTGTATTTTCAGTCAAAAAACGTACATAATTAAATAATTCAATGCATTTGTCCAAAAACATGCTCTGACATTTTTAATATCTCGCGAACCGAATAAGATTTAACTTTTTTGGTCTTAAATTTAAGATGAGACTTGAATGGTGACATCTATTAAAGTTTCAAATTTCGTTTGTAATTTTTAAAAAATATGCAGAAGTTAACAAAATCATAAAAAAAATTTTTCATTTTTTTTTAATTTGTCTACCACTAGAATCTTTGTGTAATTTATTAAAACTTTCAAATGTATATCATTTAATGTAGAATTTTATAAGCTTTAGGATGGTATATTTATTCATTTTCTCCCTTTTTTAAAAAAAATTATGATGATTTTCTACAGTAGTTTAGATATGAGTCACTTTACACCAGAAAGGGTAAAATACGAATACGGGTGTATTCGGCTCTTATCCTCTCGGGTGTAAAGTGACTCATAGTTAACTATAGGAAGCGTCACAATAAAATGCCCCGCTAAGTCTCTTAGATCAAAGTATGGATTTGCCACCAATATGACGGTTACAGCTCGGCTGCCTGTCTGTGGGCTGACGGCGTCAGGAGGACACATTGAGTGTGAGCGAGAAAGAGAATTCAAATTTTTGTTACCGATCACACTCATACTTTCTCCTTACCCTCTTTGCCCGCAGGCAGGTAGCCGAGCTGAGATTGGATTTTTACATTGAGTTTCTTTCTCTTTTATTATTCAACGCAATCATTTAAACATTGCATCAAGTTGTCTCTACACACTGAAAGAAATGATTCCGGTATGTTAGGAATTTGGTTATGTTTATGAATTTCTGTCAAGTTTTGAGAAACCAAATTTTGATTTTACCTCAATAGTTACACTCTAAAAAATTTCGTTGTTAATTTACAACGTCGGACGTTGGAAATAATTTGCTTCACGTCCAACGTAGTAAGTTTACAAGCTGCTAGTACGTATTAAAACATAATCTGAATGCAATTTAACACGCTGATTGTAAAATTGCATTAAAGTTATGTTTTAATACGTATTAGCAGCTTGTAAACTTACTACGTTGGACGTGAAGCAAATTATTTCCAACGTCAGACGTTGTAAATTAACAACGAAATTTTTTAGAGTGTACACGGAAAGAAATCTGGTAAAATAATATCATTTGAGAAGCCGATAGAGTTTTAGGATCAATAGTCCAATAGAATTTAACCATCTAACGCGACTAATATTAATATGAAAACATGAAAATATTCTAAAAGAGCTGCGATAGAAAGAAAGCAAAAGCCAGTTGTAAAATTTCCATCTATTTGATGTGAAAAATGCTCGTAGGCCTTATTACAGTTTCAGCAGAAGTCACCTGTTACTATTCCATCGGCCACCACTATTTTTCAGGCCGAGTTTGTACAACACAAACTAACCTTTATACATATACCTGCATGGACACATACATACAAGCAATACACTAGATGGCACGGCAATACGGCGGGGCATTGCTTGTGTGTATGTGTTCATGCAGGTATATAAAGGTTAGTTTGTGTTGTACAAACTCGGCCTGAAAAATAGTGGTGGCCGATGGAATAGTAACAGGTGACTTGTGCTGAAACTGTAATAAGGCCTACGAGCCTTTTTTACATCAAATAGATGGAAATTTTACAACTGGCTTTTGCTTTATTTCTATCTGAAGCTCTTTTAGAATATTTTCATGTTTTCATATTAATATTAGTCGCGTTAGATGGTTAAATTCTATTGGACTATTGATCCTAAAACTCTATCGGTTTCTCAAATGATATTATTTTACCAGATTTCTTTCCGTGTAGGGGAGACCGGGGTTACTTGGCGCAGGGGTTGCTTGGCGCACTCGAGTTTTTTCAAAAATTTTGAGTTGAATAATTTTTTCTCTCCACTCAAGTTCAAGTACTTAATGAACTCTAAGTTTGTACAAAGTTTCATTTTTATTCATTAATTATTGTGGCGTATAGATTAAAATAATTGATTTTGGTACTCGAAAGTAAATTTTTGACCTCCTCATTTTTTTGTTATATCTTTTTAGGAAATGATTTAAAATAAAGCTCAAATATCAAGTTTTGAGCTCTGACTATTTGTTTTCTAGGGATAATAAAGAATCTTTGATTTTTATTAATGTTATTAATAAAAACTTTATAAATATATAAAAAGTACCTCCGGGGTTACTTGGCGCGGTTTGGCTGGGGTTACATTTGCTTTAGAAAATGGTTTAGTTATATACCATAAAAGATCTCAAATGTTAAAATTTTATAAATTATTATTTCTTTATTAAAAATATAATTATTTTGTTTAAAAATTTTAGTGAAGGGTGCGTTTTTTAAAAATTCATAGCATATATTTTATAAAAGTTTTCTATATTTTTACGAATACACAAAAAATGTTCTTAATTGTAATTAAATATGATCCTTTTTTAATTTTTTTTATTGTAAAATGACAGTAAAAATCTTATTTTACTATATCATATAATATTTCAACTTTAAATCGTATAATTTAATTAATTTCAGTCATGCGCCAGGCAACCCCGGGTGGTGCGCCAAGCAACCCCGGCCCGGGGTTGCTTGGCGCACTTTACTTTGAATAAAGTGGTATAAAAAAAAACTATCAAATAGATTGCAATTTTTTTTTGTTTTAAATTGAAGTTAAGATGTTACAGTAAGTTTTCCGTGCAATAGGAATTTAAAAAAAGCAAAAATGTTTTAGTTAAACAACAAAGAGTAAAAAGTGCGCCAAGTAACCCCAAGTAACCCCGGCCACAAATATTTTATTTTATTTTTCCCTGACTTTTCCCTGATTTCCAGACAAAATTTTCACTTTTTCCCTGACCCTAAAGAATATTCTGATTCACTCTAAAAATTATTAGATAATCAAAAAAATGTTCTATTACATTTATTTACAAATTTCCTTAATGTAAAATTATTCGAAAACATCAATAACTTCTTTCTAAAATTAATATTTAATCATTATTATTTTTCTGTAGGAATTAAAATTCTTCGAAACATTCAAATTCAAACTTTTTCGAAATTCTACAACTTTTAAGAAAATTATTAAAAAACATGAAGACGGCGATCACTTCGAGTCTTCGACTCGGAGTGATCGCCTTCTTCATGTTTTTTAATAATTTAAATCATAAAATTTTTTAAAATAAGTTAATTATTTACAAAAATTCTAAAAAAATCCTTCGCAAGAATTCAATTAATTTTACAAACAGTACAATTTCACAAAAAAATTCAATTATTTAAAAAAAATGTAATTGGACCTTAATTTTAATCAAAAAACAGTATTTGGAAAAAATGTAATAAAATTCGTTACAATAATTCAATTATTTTCATAAATAATAATAAATCGATTATTCGTTAATTCATATTTAAATCAATTTTTATTAGAAAATTCTAGAAAAATTCAATTATTTAAATAAATAAACAAATAATTTATTGAATAATTAAATGTTTGTTGAAACTGAATTCTCATAAAGAATTTTATCAATAAATTTTTAAATAGTTGAATACATTTGACAAGTTTTAATAAAATTTTTAAGAATAATTACATTTATCGAGGAATTTGATTAAAATATTGTATAAAAAATAATTAAAATTCTGCGATGAGTTTTATTATTTATCAAAATAATTAAAATTTTCATAAAATAATTCAATGTCGGGGAAGAATTTTATTATTTATAAAGATGCTTGGAATTTTAACAAGATTTTTTTTTTAATTTTTGAATATAATTGGATTTTTGGGAAGAATTTTATTACTTTTGACTTTTGTATTTTAAATAATTGAATTCCTGCGTGAAAATTTTATTACTTATGAAAATAATTGAATTA